GATAAAAATGTGCTTAACCTGAAACTAAAATTTAATAGGGATGCATTTTAACACACATAAAAAATAATGAAGTAATAATCATTTAAAAAGAGCGTCATTTTTAGCCTCCACTTGACGACCATTAGGTGCACAAACAACCTATACAAAACAAAATTTCAAAAAAAACCAAAGACAAACAACACAACCGAATAAATGATCTTAGATTATTACTTTCACTCAGATAAGTGTTGCTGTTAAGCATCCAATGTCCCTGGATATGACACCGTAATTAAACGTATTGAATTCTATTGTTATGCCCCATTTATTTATTGCAAATGTATCGTGAAGGACCATCTCTGCGTAATAATTCCAACAATTGGAACTGAATGATCTGACTAAACAAAACTCCAAGAGTTAGGAGATTGAGAGCAGAGAGAGATAGAGAGAGAGAGTTAGAGAGAGAGAGAGAGAGAGAGAGGAGAGAGGAGAGAGAGTAGAGTTAGAGAGAGAGAGAAGAGAGAGAAAAGAGAGACAAAGAGAGAGAGAGAGAGAGAGAGAGAGAGAGAGAGAGAGAGAGAGAGAGAGAAGAGAGAGAGAGAGAGAGAGAGAGAGAAGAGAAGAGAGAAAGAGAGACAAGAGAGAGAGAGAGAGAGAGAGAGAGAGAGAGAGAGAGAGAGAGAGAGAGAGAGAGAGAGAGACAGAGGGAGAAGAGAGGAGAGAGAGAGAGAGGAGAGAGGAGAGAGAGAGAGAGGGAGAAGAGAGAGAGAGAGAGAGAGAAGAGGGAAGAGAGAGAGAGAGAGAGAGTATTTAACAATGTTTCTCTTCTTATGCTATAGGTTGTGTGTACCTTTGCATTAGCCCACTTCCAATTATTTCGTCGAAAACCTTTTTAACGGACAATATATTCTTTTCCCTCTTCTTTTCCGGTTTAGACATTCATCAAATGCGCAAGACATTATGAACAATATTTTACAGTAGTACTCCATGTACATTCTTTGAACTTTGTCTCTTATTTGGGGGCGGTCTTTCATTTTTCTCATGTATTTAATATCTATGAGTGTATTAATACCTGCCTTTTGATAATCGCCCAGAGACAAAGTAAACCAACCTTTGAGTTGAACGCTTAAAGCAGAGACATTATTCCAATAGATGTGGTTTAATGCTTACCGTATAATCCCTCTTTGTTCGTGATCGAGTTAATCGCGATATTTTGTTGATATCTATAATCGACCGACTAACGTAAGTAGAGAGAGAGAGGGAAGAGAGGGAGGGAGGGAAGGAGGAGAGGGAGGGAAAGGGAGGGAGGGAGGGAGGGAAGTGAGGGAGGGAGGAGGGAAGGGAGGGAGGGAGGGAGAGAGAGAGAGATGAGAGTAGAGAGAGACGAGAGGAGAGAGCAGAGAGAGGAGGAGAGAGAGAGGAGAAGAGAAGAGGGGAGAGAGAGAGAGAGAGGAGAGAGCAGGGAGGGAGGGAGACCGAGAGAGAGAGAGAGATCGAGAGAGCTGGAGAAGGACGGAGGAGAGAGGATGGGAGGATAGGAGGGAAGGGAGGAGATGAGAGAGAGAGAGAGACAAGTGAAGGAAGAGGGGGAGAGTACGAGAGCGAGAGAGAGGAGTGAGAGGAGAGAGAGAAGAGAGAGAGAGGAGGAGAGAGAGAGAGAGGAAAGAAGAGAATGGAGAAGAGAGAGATCGAGACGAACGAGGAAAGAGAGAGAGCAGAGAGACGGAGAGAGAAGGAGAGAGAGAGAGAGAGAAAAAAAGAAAGAAAGAAAGAAGAAGAAAAGAGAGAAAGAACGACAGACCAAACAAGAGGGAACAGATAGAGAGAGAGAGAGAGCGATAGAGAGAGAAGAGAGAGAGAGAGGAGAGAGAAGAGAGAGAGAGAGAGAAAAGAAAGACGTAAAGAACAGATGGAAAGAGAGAGAGAGAAGAGAAGAAGAAAGAGAGAAGAGCGAGAGAGGAGGGGAAGAGGGGGGAGGGCGGAGAGAGAGAGAGAGAAGAGAGAGAGAAGAGAAGAGAGAGAGAGAGAGAGAAGAGAGAGAGAGAGAGAGAGAGGAGACGAGGAGAGAGAGAGGAAGCGATGAGAGAGAGAGAGAGAGAGAGAGAGAGAGAGAGAGAGAAGAGAGAGAGCGAGAGAGAAGAGAGAGGAGAGGAGAGAGAGAGAGAGAGAGAGAGAGAGAGAGAGGAGAGAGAGACGAGAGAGAGAGAGAGAGAGAGAGAGAGAGAGAGAGAGAGAGAGAGAGAGCATACATCTTCTCTTCTTATTTATTTTCTTTAATTTTTTTTTCTTGTGTTGGTATAGTTGGAGTTCTGAATTCATATTCTTCGAAGTGTGAGGTATCTATAATAATTTGACCTTCCCCTCTGTTTACTGAATGAAGCTAATTCATTTTACGCTTTCATTTTCTACTTACACCTTTCATTCATAACATCACCTCACGTCCACTACATCACCTGGCAGCGGTGTAATTAAGGGCTATCAAGAGCTATACGTGAGACTAAGAAAGGACTCATAATACAGGCAGGTTGTGTAATAGAAATAGACGATCCTTGGGAATAAAAGTAACGGCATATGTTGTATCGTTCAAAATAAGGACAAAAAGAATTCTTGTTTGTCCTTTTATTAACACTCTTTAAGTTAATAGTATGATGCATTTAAATGTACTTTGGTGATATAACCTTCTTTAAAATCTGTAATTAAACATTATACACCTTAATGCTATTCATAAAATTGATTAGTCTTGCTAAAATGCATTTGTAAATACAAGAACCCATAATGTATGTACGTCTAATGAGTCAAGTTTGTACATATATAGTTTCGGGGTTTTAAAGCCTAATAAAGATTCTGAATCTGAACTTAATTGGCATTAGTTTCAAAAGTAATTTAATTCATTTCCTGATTTCTTTTGTTTGATTTTCATCCGTAATTTCTGCACTTAGTATCAACACTTAATATGACATATATATTATATTATATATCTATTATATACATATATATAATTCTATATATTATATATAGTATAGTATATTATAGTATATATATATATATATATATTATATATGTATATTATATACCGCTATTTACATTATATTATGTATATATATATTATTATATACCTTATAGTATATTATATATATAATATATATGTATTATATATGTGTATATTATATATATAGATATAATATATATTATATAATATATTATATATATTATATATTACTATATATAATATATATGTAACTATATATATATATTTATATCTATTAGTGTTAGTATAAGATGAGTTATATATATCATCATACTTATAAATATTATATACGCTCTATACTATTGCTTTATACCTATTATACTATATATATAGTAATTAGCCTTATATATATAATATATATATACTATATACACACACAACACACGACACATCGCATCACACACATCACACACACATCTACATATGATCTCTATATAATATATATATATATAGTATATATATATATACAATATATATATATACATATAATATTATTAAATAATGATCTATACTACCATATATATATATAATATATATATATATATAATATACGTATCTATATTATTTATTCTATTTCATTCATATCTACATTATATACTGCTATAAAGAAACCAATGGGTCAACGTCAAGAAGATTCTTTTCGTTTCTTTTATTCCTATTGTCCATTTCGTTCTCTCATCCTTTATTCTCTTTATTTGTCGCTAATCTTCCTATTTTCATGTTCTCTTCTCCTTCTCCCTTCTGTCTAAAGGGAAACTGGCAATGGGAAAGTAAGTCTCGGGGGAGAAGAGAAATCAGGAAAGCAGAGATAAGGAAAACCTATAGCAGAGGAGTAGGCGTAAGGCAGAGAGATATCAGGAATATCAAATCAAAGGATGAATCAAATGTGGTTGTGATTGAGGTTCTTAACAGTATACCTATCATCCAATAATATTACAATAATAATATAATAATAATCATTAATATCGAATAATAGATATTACTACAAATTAATAATATCTAATGAATCGATAAGTAATAATACGACTAACGATAGACTCGTGTAGGCAACAGAGCACAAAAGACAAGGTCCTTCCCATGCTGCTACACATCGATGTTCATTTTCGCCGTCGGCGGGAACTCAGCCAGTATATCTCCTCTCCAGCGGGGGTAATAATACCCTTCTTGCTAATTCGTTTTCGTCCTAAACAAAAAAAAAAAAAAATAAAAAAAAAGAAAGGAACGAAATGCGCAAAAAGGTATCGAATGGCCGATGGCGCTAAGGAGGATCAAGCGCCCCATTAAGAGAGGCTCCTTGTCCTACACTGTCCTATATCATCGTTTCTAGTTACCACCCAGTCCCGGCGTCGCAGATATCGTGCTTCTTCTTTGTCTCAGAAGACGAAGGATTTCGACGATACATAGTTAGTTTTTCTTCATATACTTGCTGTGTTTTCTGATAAAAGTCGTGGTGTGAAAATCTACATTTCGAATTTGGAATAAACTTACAGATAAATAAATTGAGTTAATGTAAAAAAAAACAAAACTGACAATAAGGTAATAAAAAAGTTGGCTATTTCCTCATTATAGTTGTATTTTGGTAAAGTCATTGTCAATAGTCTTAACAGATGCAAGAACATCTAAGAAATTCGTAACGCTTAAAATGATAGTCATATTCAGGGATCTATATCTAACTCTGCAAGAG